GTGTGGGCAGATGGGACCAAGCTGAGGGCCAGGGAATTCCCATTATTCCTTACTGGCACTTAAAATAAACCGCCCCTATGGGGTCTGATCACAGCGTGGCTCAGGGTTTCTTTACCTCTTCGGGGTGTTTAGGGTCATTGTTCCAGCTCTATGTGTGACACCAGTCAAGCTGACATTCTCTATCACTTTTGGTGCACTGAGCAATTTCCCATTGATCTCTAATTATTCAGGTCTGTCACAATCACAAACAGCAGCTCCGCCTCTCACCCTGCCAAGGCAGCAGATCCTTGACCCATGCCAACCACTCTGAAGCCTCAAGTGGTCCCTTTTTAGCACAGTGAAAATGTACATCCTAAGCAGGAGAGGACATAGAATTCCCTTTCTCTGTTTTCCAAGCCTAAGACAGCTGGGAATTGTTTTCTTCCCATGGGTAACTGGCAGGAAGGAGATTTCCTCTGCTATCACTCCAGCTGTAGCATCCCCATTTGTCACAGACATTCAGTTCTGTTTCGAGGACTCCCATCAGAAAACTGACTCCAGTTCTCAGAAGCGAATTCCCAGGCGGTTTTTACTCCCTGGAAAGAGCAGGGATGAGCAAGGCCGGGAACGCCGCCGGAAGAGCCGGCAGGGCGGAGCCGCGGGCGGTGCCGCAGGGGCGGGGTCCGGGTCGGACACGGAACCGGCCCCTGCGGTTCCGGCCCTGCCCGCGGCCGTGTCCGCCCGAGCGGCCCCGCGGGGCAGAGCGCGGCTCTCGCTGCCCTGCGGCCGCCCCGATCCTGCTGTGCCAGCGGCAGCTGCGCCGGGAGCGAGCTGTCCCGAGCCTGGCATGGGCGCAGTCCCCTTGGCTGGCGCAGCGACGGCCGGAACGAGCGAACGGCGGCTGTGGTGAGTGGCCGGAGGGCAGAGAGGGCCGGGCGGATCCGCGGGGGGATGTGAGCGCTTTCAGCGCTGATCCTCGGGACCCAACTGCTCCGTGGGACGGGTTTGTCCCGCACTCGGGGCTCTCTGGGACCACGTTTCACGGAACAAAGCTCCTGCCGCGTTCCCAGGTGCGATGGAAATGTTTGTGGGATGGGCTGAGCTCCGTTTTCCGGGAAGCAGCGGGACGGGTGTCCCTGGGCCCACCCCGCGGGTCGCAGAGAGAAGCTGCTCCTGTGGCCACGGGCGAGGCTCGGGGGGAAAAAACTGAACAGTCCTTATGGAAACCCATGGAAAAACAAGTTTTGCTTGGTTTTGGACTTCCCCAAAAGTTTGGGTTTTTTACGTTTTCCCTCTGAGCCCACCTGTGTGTTTTGCTTTAGGGAACAGGAGACAGAAGGGGGAATGGGGACAAAGATAATTTGTTACCCCACAAGGGACGAGTTCATTTTTATTTATTTCCTGACCCACCTGGAATGATTTGGGTCTCAGGAGGCACCTGGGAGCCTCCATTTGTATCGTGGGTGGGGCCGTGGCTGTAAAAGGGGTAAAGGGTGGAGGGGGGGGATTGGAGGGGCAGGGGAGCAGTGATTGGGACCAATGATACACTGAGAATTTGCATCTGGAAACAGCCATCATTTCCCTGATGGGAGTCCTGGAAACAGAACTGAGAGTCCATGAGAAATGAGAATACTGCAGCTGGAGTGCTGAGAATGGAGAGTCTGCAGGGAATATTGCCTGGTGAGTCTCCTGCTGTCTCATATCTAATGCTGTGCTAGCACCGAGTTAATTCTGATTTAAACTGTCTTGAAATATGCTAAATTTACAAATTGTACTGCAAAATGCACATGGGAACTTTCATGTTCCTAAGGGCATGCTCTCAGGATCAGGAGGAAATGGTGTTCGTGCCCCACTGGGAAAGCAGGGTCCGTGCTGTAGCTGTGTCTTTGTCCTGCTCTCTGCACTGTTTCAAGGATGCCCTGGAGTGCTGTGGCTCGTGGCAGGATAATCTGTGTGTGACGGCTTGCCGTGCCTGTGTGTGCAGCTGGGTCACTCACTGGGCATCCCATGGAATCCCTGAGGTTGGAAAAGCCCTTAGTGATGCTGAAATGCCCCCAAGACAAAGCTTCCCAAGCTGGAAGCAAAGCCAGTGGCAGGGAGGGAAACGCAGGAGGGTGGTGGGAAGGGCTTTCTCCCGGGTCTGGACACCCTCAGGGCAGGGGATTTGTAAATGTTTGTCTGCAGCAGCAGCTCCCTCAGCCTGGATGAGTGTGAGTCTATCCAGCTCTTCCTTAGGGCTTGGAGCACGGCAGAGCTCATGGTAAATCTTGTTTAAACACTTTTAATATCAAAATATGTTAAAACATAGACTTGGAGGAAATAACATACAAAAATCTATTGCAAGCCTAGGTACAAGCTGTCCTTATTAAAGGTGCACACGGATGGATGTTTTGTCAAACCTCTCTGAGGAGAGAATGTGTCCCAAAAGCTTTGTTAACCCCTTGTCTTCTGCTGGCAGGGCGGCGTCTTAGCCCAGGTCTCGGGGGCTGTGTGGAGATTCCTCCCTGGAGCAGGGTCCCCCCGTGAGGAGGAGCCAGGGACTGGGACATTGGACCAGGTAAGGATCTGTTTCTCTTTAGCCATTGTTTTTGCTGGCCTGAATGTCCCGGCTGCAGAGCTCCTTCAGACGTCGTGTCCTGCAGCAGCAGTTCAGGCTCCTGAGCTGGGCCGGGAACAGTTCTGGGGTGGGGCTTTCAGCCTCCTCAGTGTCCATTTCAATCAATCATTTGTTTTGTTTCCATCGGTCTCTGGGGTTTGCCACCCTCGGTGGCCCGGGACAGAGCTGTGCAAAGGCTCCGTCCCGGCTGTGCAGAGTCCTGGGCGGTGCTTGCAGGGGCTGGAGGCATCGGGGGCTGCCTTTCGAGCCTTGTTCTCCCCCTGGCATTTACAGAGTGACAGGCTCTGCCCTGAGGGATCCAGTGTTTCTTTTGAGCATTGATCCTACAGCTGGACAGTTCAGGTCAGAGGGGTTAGAGTCAGTTCTTGGGCCCAGCGCAGGTTTTGTCCCACCAAGACTCATTGATTTAAAATTTTGTCCCACAAAAATGATTGATTTAAAACTGAACTTCCTGAGATAGCACACAGATGATGCACTGGGACTTTGGGCTTCATAGTAAGTGTTGCCAGGTGATTTGGTGAGGTTGAACTGATCTTCTGGCTGAGAGCTGCATGTCCCCTGCTGCAGGCAGAGGAGGCAGAGCTGGGACAGGAGAGCTCCTCCATTCCCGGGTTCCACAAAATCCCGTGTTTTATTCCCGGGGCTGCTGCGGGCATGGATTCTGTGAGTTCCAGATCAAGGCTGTGCTTGCTGCTGCACTGAGGCTGGTGTCACACGGGACCTGCTCCTTCATCTGGGAAGTGTCACTGAGGGTGTTGTTACAAGGGAAAGGGCCCTTTCTGCCAGAGGTTCTGCTGTGGCTCTTGTACCAAGGACCCTGATCCTTTCTGTGCAGTGTGTTACTGAGGATGTTACAAACACCTGGGCTTTTATGTGGGAGGTTTTATAGAGGATGTTGGTACAAGGTAAATGGTCCTTCATGTGTGAAGTTTTACTTCCCTGTGAAAAAGCCTTGGGAATGCTCAGGAACGCAGTGTGGGATATTTGACCTCTGAAATGGGTCCTGTTTGGT